TGGTTGATAATACCAAGAGAAAATTATCCAAGTTTCCAAAATATTCAAACGTATAGCATCGTGAATCGTGACTATCGTAAATCTTACGAAAGAAATTTGCTTACGAAAACAATCCCAGGATAAAGTAAGCAGCCGAGGAGGCAGAACTAAGGTAACGCGTAGTTAATGCGAATTCCGCGCGGTAAAGTTTTATTAAATTATATTCCACTCGGCGAATTCAAATTATCTCGGATACTACGCCTGCGAGGGCATGCGTATATATCACCTAGCCGAGAGAGACATGTTTGTGTGCGCATATGCCGGGATAAATCATGGAAAGTGGACTACACAGGATTTTCCTCCCACATTTTTATTTCGCGTGCAATGTCGAGTATCTGGACGTACAATATCGTGATATACCTCCATATAAATGTGGATCGAGAAACCAAATTCGTTACAAGTAAAGCTATTAAAAAAGTCCCGTAAAAAAGGCTTCTGGGAAACAAATTTTTTTTCGAAAAATTATACGATATATTTTTGGAGATTGATAAATTTTTAAACATACATCTTAAATCTTTATATTTTTTATTGATTAGAAAATTGTATAACTTGCTGAGAAGCTATCTAAGTTAAGTTTGTTAATTAGTTTGCCTTCTATTTCCATTGCATCGCATGTTGTAATAACAGAGTACTATCTACTTGTTGCATGATTTATTCTTTATGAATATTACATATGCATTCGGAGCATTTTTGGAAAAGTTTCACTCCTTTTCCTTTCTATTTTCTTTCTATTTCCTCAGTCCTTCTATTTTCTCGAAGACTTCTCGCGTTCTATTCCCGAGATTGGCATTCTTGAGCACTTCACGTGAGAGACTAGCGCGAATCAGCTCTTTCCATCAACTCTTCCCTCGACGGTCCATTGCGATGGCGAGAATGCGGAATTGCGGCCAGTAAGGATGTGCATTTCCCCGCTTAAGTTTAAATTGTATATTCAAGGAAATGCTTCGCCCAACTATTCGAGCAACTTTTAATACGACTGCCGTTAACCGCTCGCGAAGTATGATAATCAGTCGAGTTTTCCGTTTGCAAATGGAAAGATAGAGGCAAGATAGACAATTCCTCGTTTGATGTTAATTTTTTTTTCAAGAGATATGCTTTGTGCATTCGATAAGAATAGAAATTGCAGTTGCGAGCGACAAGAATACATTCTGTAGTAGTCTAACATTAAGGAGATGTTTGTAAATGCGCTGCATTTATAATTTTATTATAAGAGAGAGACTTTTATTATAAGAGCCTCCAGAGAAACTTGATTATTTTATATCTAAAGAGTTTAAATTTCTGAAAAGTTTAATTATTTAAAGCAATAATAATATAACAATTTGTATGTATCTTCAAAATGGTGCTTAATGACAGCGATTTGTCGCCTGTTACCAATCACGTCGATCTTGTATTCAAAAGAAACTAGTCCGAAATTGATTTAAGAGTCTTAATTGGGCAGACGCGAGACGACGATCTCACAAATTAGTGTCGAGTGCAACCTGTTGCTGGCGACGAGATTTGTCGTTCGGTTTTAAACTATGACAATTGAGTTTACTCGGAAGAGAGAGATCACTCACCGTCTCGCGCTTTTTACTCCAATCATTCTTGCCGTCACGTAGCTGGTAACGAGGATCTCGTTAGTTGCTAACGAATTGTTTGGATACAATCGCGCGAAATCCCCAGGAACGTTCTCGCATTCATTAACATTCGAATCAGGCCGCTTGGATTCCAAATGCTTTGATACCGCGGATTAAGTTGATTGAATCGCATTATATGTGCGGCTCTCTGAAAATGAGGTTAACGGATGGTCGTGTGGATAGAGAAAGAGTAAGAGAGGGAAAGAGAGAGAGAAAGAGAGAGAGAGAGAGAGAGAGAGAGAGAGAGAGAGATTGCAATAATATTAGGTATCTCATAATTAAGAATGAACAATTACAAAAATAAATTTTTGTAAAAAAACTTAAACTGTCTCGGATTATTCGATCTATTATTAAAATCGTAAAAAATGTATTAGCATCGTTGAAAATTAAAGAAAAAAAATTTTTTGTCACGAGAAGATATAATTATGAACTATAGAATTACAAATTATGATATTTAATTTCGCTTGATATATAATCAATGATATAAAATGTGGATATATGATCCCTTCCCTCCACTCTGTGGAGAATAAAAGTTTACAAATGCGCAAATGGTATACATAAAATATATAATTATTAGTAATTTTTTTAATGTGATATAAAATGAGATAAATTAATAAAAAGAATAATAATCATTAAAATAACATATAAAATAAGTTTGCCAAATTTTATTTGATTCCTATTTTTAAATACAATAGTCTATTTATATCTCATTTTGACCGATAAGAATATACATTTAGGACATGTAATAATAGTTTACATTATATATAGAATTTCAGAAATTAATGCACACATTTATCGATAAAAGTGAAGTGTAAATGTAGTGTAAATCAATATACATTTTGAATATATATTTGTATGCTTATTATAATAAATCTATTTTGTTGTAACATAACATGTGATATAACGAATATATACGATTAAACGAAAATTTGTACTTACAAAGAATATCTGTCACAGTTAAGCAAAATATAGAATATTATAATCGCAGAACATTTAATCAAATTTTCAATTATATTTAATATCGATATTGAATATTTTACTTGATGTTATTAATTGATAATAAAATATCTAAAAATAATTTGGAATATTTTCAGATTTAAATAAGATGAATTTGTTCAATTTCTAAAATTTCATTTACTTTATTTTTCTAAAATTTCATTTACTTTATTTGTCAAAGTATTACTAATACCGATACATTAATTTTGGCATCATCAGGATTATTATAAGTATCAAATAAATATATTTTACATTATAATTAACACGTACTTCGACTTAACTAATAATGATTTATATGTATATTATTACATCACAAAATTAATTATAAAAATTTTAATGTAACAAAAATATTTTTGCAAAAGCTCAGTTAAATTGAAAATAATCGGCTATTGTGCGACATTATTTTCGAAAAATGTTTTTTATGACATATAACTGGTAATAATAACTCTTATTCTCCTGAGATCAATTCTTGAGAACTTAACAGCATTAGTTCATAAAGCTTTCGGATTTTCAATAAGAACTACTATTTCCTTGATATCGAGCATTTCAATATGTTTTCTCGATAATCAAGACAAATAAAAAAATAAAATGATAAATGGTGCTCACAGAAAATTTTTTTTATAATATATTCTCAATCAATTCGTATTTCATTTCAAACTCTATTATGTGACGTATATAATACGATATGTCATATATATATTAATATTTTTTAAAAATCAGCCGCATATTTGTTTTGTTATACGTACGAAGAATACTTATAGAATAATAAATAGCGTGAGACGAGATTGATGCTTAAACAATATCGTGACAATGTGTCAAAAGAGAAACAATTGAAACAAATGAATAACTTGATAGATAGACAAGTAAAAGATGGACAGATAGATGGACAGATCCGATTAAAAACTTTCGAACGTTGTACATTGGATCGATAAGAAACTGTATGAGCACATCGCGATCATATTCTCCCAATTTTCTCTGATTTTAGATATCAATTAACCAGATATCAATTAACAGATCTCAACATTGCAGTTGTCTGACTTTGACATAATTATTGCTAAATCTTCTTGTGCAGTATTACATTCACGAGCTCATAACAGCTTCTGTACTTGAAATGTTTCATGAGTCTCTAGTTTAACACTAGTCATTTTATTCAATTGAAACAATCAACCTGATTGATAAAATTTTATTATTTAATATCCATGTGTCTTTCTTTTATTACTTTTAATTACATTTTCTTTTTTTTTTGTCATGGTTGATGCAGAAATTGAATAGCAAAATAATTTTATACTCCTATTTTTATATAATATTCTATAAACTTTAATGAACATTATAGTATTGGAGACGTCAAGTACTGGTATATAACAAAAGTTTTAGTCATAGTAGTATTTCTCGGAATATGCATAATTTTTCCATATTATGCCGGTACTACTATATGGAAAGAATGATTTTGCTAAAGTATCTAAAAATTTAGCTAGATACACATTTGAAAATAAATTTATTGGATTATTAAAATGATTACGCGGGAATCTTAAGCATGATGAGTAATACTATAAAAAAATTCTTGCAATTAGTTTGAGCATCCTACATTATTTTGATGGTTATAATAAAATTATTTTCAGATCTGTATCTTATTAAATTTTTATTAGATAAGTACTCTTTAGCAAAATCTTTGCGTGTATTATTATGCATATATACAACGTTATTTTATAAGAACTTCTATACAAATTTGTTTATGATTATCTCGAGTAATAATTTGTAAATATTATTTATATATAGTATTAGTATATAAATATGAATTATAAATTTGTTGATTGTAAAGTTCTACACATTTAAAAATAATATTTGTAAGTCATCACTTGAGACGATCATAAATAAATTTGTTTGAAAATTTTTATAACACAATATTTTATATATGTATAATAGTAATAATATCTATACTTTTTATATCGCTTTCAAGCCCTTAAAATATATCGAAATAACTTTGTTCTTATTTACATTTTGCATTCATAGTAATAATGTGTAACAATTCATTATGAACTGTAATATATAACAACAAATACTTTTCCAGCAACTAAATAAATTTCTACGTAGGATCTTACAAAGCTTATTTGTAATTAATTGTATTACACTATCTTTAAAAATAAAAGCTATTTACATACAGATTACATAATACTTTTTTAAAGTTCTAAGATATAATGCGTCAATTAATTTACGCAATATATCTTTCTTTCAAAGACTCATATATCTTTGAATGTATTCTATTTAGAGTTTACGACTGAATAACTTACAATATTTCCTCAATAAAATACATCGTCGAGACGTTTCGAACTTCCCGACACGCGAGGGGGAGTTAACAGAAAGATTCTTTTTCGTTTTTGCAGTAAGATATCCATATTTTTACGTTTCATCAAATTATATAGTCTATCTTCGTAATGTAGTCTTCCTCTACCTTGAGAAAAAAATGTTCAAATGAGTTACTGTCGTAATCACTGATAAAGATTCTGCTGATAAAAATCCTCCACCGTGAACATTCCTTCCGCGTATGGACTATGCGCCTTCGTCTTTACCAGATAAAAACCCTGATACTTCCTATTGACATCCTCACCCATCAGTACCGCGGGAAATCTGGGCGGACAGAGACCCAGAAGATAAGCTACAAAACCGGGACATGGCCAGCCCCAAAAACCGACTTTCGAGTTGATCGATTCGCTAAAGTACTCCGTCGCCCTGTGGTGGTTGCATCCGAAGGGATTTCCATGTTCCCAGCAACCAGGTTGATTGACTCCACCATTCATGTAAAAGTCAATATGACCACTTGGTTCGATTTTACCCTGAATAAAGGCATTCGTGTGTAACACGTCGACGAATTCAGCATCGCTCGAATCGAGTTTCTCGTCCTTATTGACGGTAATGAAAAGCGGCATTGCCGGATCGAGACCAGTGATTCTCGTAAGTTTGTATGGTCGTAGTACGTTGGCCGCGAAAGCTGGAACATGGGCGCCCAAACTGAAGCCGATTACGTGAATGTCCTTGGCACCGTAGTCTCTTAGACGGTCAACCAGCTGTGCCAGACAGTCGCCCACGTGAGGCACGTTATGGACGGCTATGGGGTAACAAGGTGCTATCGCCAAACGGTGCCAATCGATCGCTATAACATTGTAACTGGCCCTCTTTAAATACTCGTTCTTAACATCCACCAAGTAACTTAGCTGCATATCCGAATTGTAACCATGAACAATGATCTTCGTGGGCAACGTCGCTATGAAATTAGTATCGGCAAGATTTGAACTGGTATCGTTCACAAACAATTGTTGTCCCTCTTCTGGATTGTGTTTGGTAAAGAGAAAGAACGTCACTTCTTCATCGGGACACGTCTGATTAGTGTTAACTAGACAGGGTCCCACGAAGAAATCTTTACCGATTTGATCATCTACGGTATTGCTCACGACGAAGGTCTGTATATTCGCGGCCGCAAACTTGCAGACTAACAGAAGAATTGTGCAAATCCTCCAGGTTGGTGAACAACCAGCCTGGTTGGTAGTTGTCATCTTAGATCCGTCGAAAGCTCCACCTTGACCGTGATATCGTGCGAAGGTACGTCTGCGAATGATTCCAAGCGACTGTCTAGTGGGAACTGGTTGTTGCAACGACTGGTCGATCGATACGGGCGAAACTCCATGATAAAAGAGCGGCACGTACTGGACGAGCCTCGACGAGCTTGGAATCCCTAAAGAGCACCGCCACACGCGGCGACGTTTTAACAAGAATGTTCGGTCAGTTGTCGATATGCGTGCACGAGGTGAGTCACGAAAAGTTAATGCTGTTATTTTTAGCGATATGATATTTAAACATTGAAAATCTTTCCGAAGAATTATAGTCCTATTTTCGATAAGATTATAATTCTTTAGAAGACAAAGGAATGAAAAATTCAGATCGTTTTGATAAAAATTACAAAGAAAAGTCTTTGAATTTTTGTCTTGATAAGAAAAATTCTAGTCTTTATTGACTCAAAAGATTATGAATATTTCACATACACTTAGCTTTTTGGTTTCAATAATATAGTAAAATAATAGAGTAAAAAGTAAGTGAGTCTCCATTTTTGTATAATTTTTATTGTTTCAATTATATTTATGTAATCCAAACTTTATATAATATATACACTTGATTAAGATAGCAAACCAAATCATTTAATTGAAAAGACATATATTACAATCTGAATGTGATAGTAAAGGAGTCTTCTTCTATATTTCTACAAAATGTTGTTTTTTTTTCAGATTTATTTAGACTTTCCATAAAGCTTAAATTTATAGAAAATTCTGAATGTATTGAGATATTATCAGATTCAAAAGTTTCTTTTCATGAACACGGTTAATAATATTCTCCAAACAATATTCTTGCATTGATTCTGTCGTCATAAATATTTGTCATCTTTTCTCTGCTTCGCGAATAGGGACTTTTTAAAATCATTTTAAAATGATAAACACAAAGGTAAAATATTTTTAACAAAAAATACCGCTTTACAATGTTTTTTTGTTAAAAACTTGAAGCTCACATCACCCGCTTTTGAGGAAAACCCTATACAGAAACCTTAACAAAGTTTACATTTAATTATATTCTAGCGAAAATATAGTTAATCAAGCTTTCTTATCTACTTAAAATAGAATAATACTTTAAGAATTAAGATATAAACTTGTTATACTTAAACTTTAAATCACATCAAACTTCATACTGAAAATCAAAAATGAAAAAATTTAAATATATCTCCTTTAATATATCGTAATAAATAAACACCAATTGTCAATAAAAAGGTCGTACAGTGACGGCACAGTGATTTCACAATTTTGATCTAAGGCCGGAATCATTGAAGATTAGACTATGCATTGAAGATTGAAATATGATCAATCAAAATAATAGGAGCTAAAATTCCTTTGTCCTCATTGGTTTCAGTCTTCAATCTTCAATCTCAATTTTCAATGCATAGTCTGATTCCGGCTTAAAAATAGATTAAAAATATCTCTTTTGGAAGATATCAATTATAACAAAAATTTTAAGTGGGGTTCACATTACTTTTTTCTCTATACGAATGATAAATTGATATGGAACGACTACACACGTTAAGATATAGTAACTTCACGATAAAATAAAAAAATCAAAAGATCTTGAGAACTATTGTTTATAATATAAGAAAAGAAATTTTGATATTTATATAATAATGTTTGACATTGCGAGAAAAGATTATTTATGACAAATACATTGATCAATTTATAAAATTGAATTATTATTTTCTCAAAAAAAATTACGATATTCTTTTCACCACTCACCACTTTATACGCAAAACAATACAACTCCTCGTAGGTCGAACCGATGACGAACTAGAGCACATTGCACAATGTTTCGCTGTGCACTTGTACGTTACACAAGCATTCAACAGTCGCGATACATTTCACGGAATAGACTGGTTGATTAAACATCATTGATACTGTTCGTTTGCTATAATAGTATGATAAAATTTCAACGGTGATATCATTAATAGAGTGATAGTGCAAAGGCGACTGATAAACAAACGAGAATGATTACGACAATGGTGATGGATCGATAAAAGCTTAGATGCACGATTGGCAGATTAGAATACAGGAGATAATGCAATGGCACGTGAATTGTAATGGTACTCACCTCTTGTAGGACAAATTGGGTATTTCCGAGGTACGCGTGTTTCCTTAACCGCCACTTGTCGAAATTGCGCGCGTCAATATATCGGCAGCGAAATTTACTTGTGCTAAATAAAAATTTTCTCACCGTAGTAGATACTTAAAATTCTAACTTGTATGTATTAGTAGAGAGAGAATTTAAACTGTAATAAAAGCGACGATCATTTTAACGATTGAGCAATCAAATTCACTGTAGTTTTAACTGCATAAAACTTTTTTTCATTTCTTTATTTTATAATCAACGTTTCTAGACTTTACTTCATGAATGATAACTTTGAAGCAACCAATCCGATTTTGGGAAAAGTGATTTGAAAGAAAAATATTTTATAGAATTTTTATGCTAATTGAAAGTAATATATTTTACTCTTGTGATAATATATATTTTAATAATGAAAAAAAAGTTTTTGAGCTTTTTATTACTGCTGGACGAAGCAATTAGAAGTTGATATCTTTGATTTACAGTACGGATACGATAACATGTGCCCTGCATCGCGTGACTAACCTCAATGACATTGAAAGCTGCTTTGAATAATGCGCCAACTTCCTGTTACAGCTCGAGTCTCGTTTGCAATAATTATTCGCGATTGTACTACCAAATATCATCGAAACTCGAAATAAGTATCATCGATCGTTTCAACACGAGTTCTCCGTATAGGATCCGCGCATTTCGGAAGAGCTCGTGAAAGTATTCGTTCGTTACTTCCGTTTCGATAAAACGCGCGAGAAGGTGAAATTTCGTTCGAGTTGGCACGCAGCCTACAAACATATCAATAAACTTTCGCGACCGGCGAGGTAACCTATGAATGTTAATCGTGACCAAAAACACTTTTACATTCGTTGCTGTTACGTTCGTTATGATTGACTAAAACCTGTCCCAGTTATGTGTGGCTTTTTAATGACTAAATTATCATTATTATCATATTATTCTCAAGGAAGTTCTAAGGAACTTGTCATAACTATCCGGAATCGACTTGATTCTCTTTGAAATATATGTTGTAAAATTTAAGACATTTTTTTTTATATATTTATGTATATTTTCTTATATCGGTTCAATCTGAAATTTAAGGGATAAAACAATCCTTTTCAAGTAGGAATCAAATTTAACCTTTAATACACATCTTTCGTGTCTTGCGCATTTCTTTTCGTTAATTTATATATTACAATGTTATATACAACAATTGTATATAACACTTTATTATAAATATACAATTTTGAAAATACTTTCTAAAGATGTCTAAATATATGTAAAAATTGCTTAATAATTTTTATATGCTTGTAAAAGTGATGAAAATTAATTAATCCAGAACACGAAAGACCCATCGTGTAGTAAGAATGCCAAAAACTAAGGTATGTACTAAAGAATAAGTTGACACTTATATTTGATTTCTACGAAATGTACAATGAATGAGATGTACAATGAATGAGATGAAAAATGTTTTATACAAAAATTTTTGTATACTGCAGTAATGTGTGTTTAAATTTTCCAAAAAATCTAATATTTTAAAAATATATCCCTATCTCATAGATTTTTGTATTTAACAACTTATTTCAAGGAGAATTGATTGCGAATAGTTGTGATAGTTTCCTCGAAGTAAATTATTATTAAGACTTATGTATTATTTTAAAAATTAAGATAGAAAAAAGATTCACGAGAGACAAGTAATAAATAATATGTAGATCAAACATCGATCAAAATCGGTTAATTAAAATTTTTTAGAATAAAGATAAGTTCATCGCGCATTTAATTTGATAGACTTCCGTACATGATATTTACATATTCTGCTTAAATATAAAATTCTACTTTTCGAATTTTTTTAAATGCAGTCAAAATCCAGAACGAACTTGTTTATATAATATAAAAGAAATATAAAAAGAAAAGGAAAGAGATGGACGAATGTTCTCATTCGTATTTCACCTACGTAATCCTCCTATGTCCAACCTCTCGTAAAAATTCTTCAAATGTAGATTGGTAGTCTCATTTCATACTGGAAAGTGCATCTGTATACGGACGGAAGTATGCATTTCATGCCTCGAAAATATGAATGTCCCAATGATAAGAGATAAGAGATATTCTATATTTGAATTTACACTAGTTAGAAGGAATTATTAATTATATATTAATTATCAAATATTTCGTATATCGAATATAATCGTATATCATTTGCATATAAAAAAAATAAGGCACGGAGAATAAATTTTGAAATAATTTATAATTATATATAGATTATTACGTCAAAAAATTTATATAAAAGCAATTAATAATTAAAATTATCACATTGTACGATTGCATTATAAAATACCAATAAATAATAATAATGCAACGTAAAAATTGAATAAAACATTGCATTTGGTTAAAATAAGAATTTTAATTTTGTCAGCAATATTTATTTTTGCATACTGGCTCGTTTTAATTTCCATCCTGCATTGCTTAATTACGGTTAAAATTGCAATTACCGTAGATCCTCCGTTAATCGTGTTACATACTGAATTTTCAAAGAAAATCGATACCGAGTACAGGCTACCCCAATTTGTGGTGTGCAGCCTATCAGGCAATCATACTGCAATCTCCATTTTAAAAGTGGAATCCGTGTTACATGGACGAACGATAAAATCAATAGCATAAGCGGAAATGCCTAAATTAGCTTATATGGCTTATACATATATTAGCGATCGAATTTGGTCCGTTTCAAAGTACACATACTCGAAATAGATGTTATCATATTGCATATAGCTATATTAATTGCACGAGTGCATTAATTCATCACTGAATGAATTAATTTCACTATAGTTTGTGAGCGAGTACAAATATCATTTTGCACATGCGAATCATTGTATTTTATATATTTCGACGTTATTTTATTAATCTGCAGTTAAAAACTTAATGATACTTTGTAATATTTTGCTCATCATTCTCTTCGCGTTTTATCGTTCCGAATTTTAAGTATCATTTATTAATTATCGTGTAATTCAGTTACTAACTCTGTTACAGCTATTTGTTATTTATTAAAATATACATAAA